CCCAAGCTGGCCTCAATCTCACAATAGTCCTCCTGCCTCAGCCTCCTGAGTGCTGAGGTTGCAGGCATGTTGACTTTTAACTTTGATCACCAAGCCTTAGTTGTTGAACACTCAGAAGGTCAGTTGCACCAGTATTGAAGTGGGAGTAGTGAGTTTAACTATTATATTCTCATCAAGCATTTTGAAATACAAAGTATAGCTAGAGGACTGTTATGTTCTTACCAGTCATGGTAAGAACCATGTCTTAGAAGTTGAATCCCTATAGCATGTTAACAGGTAACAATTGTAAAGTTTTACAGAGAAAACTTGATCAAGAGCCATACATAACATTTTATGTTGTTTTATTTTTCCAAACAGATTTTATTGGTACATTTAGATATATATAATGATCACATTCATCAGAGAGAATTTGTACCTGTACATGATATAACTTCTTTCCTTTTTTTCCCACTCCCTTACCCACCCTTAAACCCCTCTTCCCCTCCCCACTTACAAAAGCTTTGTTTCCATTTTTTCCTTATTTTTTTTACTTTTCTTTCCTTCCCTCCTCTCCCCTTGTTCCTCTCCCCATTTGAACATTTTATTCCTATTTCACAATACCTACTATACATTTTGGTCCTTATTTATGCTTTTGTTGTCTCACACCAGAGAAACGATACAGTATTTACGCACATTTGTCTGATTTATTTCACTTAAGAGAATGGTCTCAAGGTGCATCCATTTACCTAGAAATGTCTGGATCTTAATCTTCTTTATGACAGAGTGATACTTTATTGTATTAAAAAAAAAAAAACCCAGCCAGGTGAGGTGGCACATGCCTGCAATCCCAGCACTCGGAAGGCTGAGGCAGGAGGGTCATTGCGAGTTTGAGACCAGCCTGGGCTACAAAGTGAGCTCAAGGCCGGCCTGAATTACATAGTGAGACCCTGTCTCAAAAAAAGACAAAAAATAAAAATAAATGAAAAAAACCCACATCTTCATCCATTCACCAATTGATGGGAATTTGGGCTGTTTCCAAGATTTGGTTATTACAGACTGTGCCACTAGCATATATCACTGTGGTATGATGCTTTTAATTCTTTTGGGAAGATACCAAGAAGGGAAATAGCTAGATCAAATGAAACCTCTAGTGCTAGTTTTTGGTTTTTGTTGTTGTTGTTGTTGTTTTTGCAATACTGGGGATCAAACTCATGACCTTGTGCTTGCCAGGCAGGCACTTATGCCATTGAGCTATCTCCCCAGCCCCTAGTGCTAGTTTTTTGTGGAATCTCCACACTGATTTCCATAGTGGTTCCACCAGTCTGCACTCCCATCAACAGTGAAGGGTTTCTTTTTTCCCACAACTTCTCCATCATTTATTATTGGTTGATTTCTTGATAATAGCCATTCATTCTGAAATGAGATGGAATGTCAGTATTGTTTTAATTTACATCTCTTGGCCCGGCATGATGGTGCACATCTGTAATCCCAGCACTCAGGAAGCTGAGGCAGGAGGATTGTTGCAAGTTTGAGACCAGCCCTAGGCTACAAAGTGAGCTCAAGGCCAGCCTGAACTGCATAGTGAGATGCTGTCTCAAAAATACAAAAAAAAAAAAATTTTTACATCTCTTGAATGTGAAGAATGTTGAACATTTTTCCATGTATTTATTTGCTGTTTATATTTTGTCATCTGAGAAGTGTGTATTCATCTCAGATGCCTATTTTTAGATGAGGTCTTTAATTTAGGGAGGTCTGATATTTTGGGCTTCTTTATATATTCTGGATAGTAATCCTTTGTCTGAGGAATAGCTGGCAAAAAATTTTTCCCACACTGTGGATTGTCTTTTCACTCTGTTGTTGGTTTCTCTTGCTGTGCAAAAGTTTTTTAATAAGATGTGATCCAAATTGATTCATTGTGATATTTTGTGTGTGATCGGGGTTTTGTTCATAAAGTCTTTGCCTACACCAATGTCTTCAAGAGTTGCACCTATCCTATCTTCCAGCAGATGTAATGTTTCTGTTTTAACATTTACATCTTTGATTCATTTTGATTTTAGTGTAGTGAATGGTGGAAGATATGGGTCTAATTTTAATCTTCTTCATGTACAAAGTCAGTTTTTCTAGCACCACTTATTAAAGAGGCTATCTTTCTTCCAGTGAATCTGTTTGGCCCTTTTGTCAAATGTAAGTGGCTGAGTATGTCTGCAGTTATTTGTGTATCTTCTAATCTGTTCTACTAATTCTCAGGTCTGATTTTTTTTTTGCCAGTACCATGCTGCTTTTATCACAGTAGCTTTGTAGTATAATTTCAAGTCTGGGATCACACATACCATTTTATCATGACAATTACGATGATATTATTATCTTTTTTCTTGAGACAGGGTCTTGTTGTGTACTTCAGGCTGCCCTTGAACTCACTATGTAAACCAGGCTGGCCTTAAATTCATGGTGATCCTCCTGTCTCAACCTTCTGAGTGCTTGGATTATAGGTATGCACTACTATGCCTGAAATTACCTTTGAAACACACTTAAATGTCCATCTACATTTAGAATAGTCTTTTAATCCATCATCTCCATTTAATTGCAGGACATTAAGTGACACAAAAAAGCTCTCGCCTAATTTGATATTCCTCAATAGGATGTCATCAAAGAAGAAAGTACCCATCTATAAGTTTTTAATGTCTACTCTTTAAGTTTTGGCATGTGGCATTGTCCAGACTGCTCAGTGCCTGACCATCTCTAAGTGTAGTGACACGTGTATAACATACTCATCACATAAACTTTTTTTTAAAATTATCATTTGACTAGTGGTCTCATGCTGACTTGACGTGCACCTCTTGTCACAAGTAGCTGGCACACAAGAGAAGGGCAGATAGATATCTGAGTCTAAAAGAAGCCTAGTTTTATATCTTTGAAGACCTAGAAAACATTAATACACTTAGTATAACATGAAGTTAGCAATGATGAGTGTCACAGCTACTTGGAAACATATCTCTTAATCTAGTTTTATATCAAGAGCATCTTTTAATAAGAAAATCTTCTTGTTTTGCCCACAAAAACTTAACCTTTTGATGATAGCCAATGTAAACATAATAATATGGTTAGCAATGTTTATTGGGGTGTATCTCCCAAAAGGGCTTTCAAATTATAGGGAGTTCCATTAGTGAATAATGACTAGTATAAATGTTTCCAGGCAGCTACTCCTTTCTTCACCAAGGGGAGTCTTGTCCAGCAGTTTTCTCAAGCCCAAAGGGTCTCCATTTATCTATCATAACAGAATATTTTTATTTTTAGATGACCTATGAGAATCATATTATAACAATTAACACTTTCTTTTGGGTACCAGGAATTGAATTCAGGACCTTGTGCTTGCCAGGCAAGTGCTTGTGCTGCTGAGCTATATCCCCAGCCCCAACAGATTATTTTAGACCAATGAAAGACCCCCTAATTATTATACGCATACAACAATAGACATTGCATTTGTAAAATCAGTCTTGACATCATTTTGATTG